TCTTTCCCCCCTTCATTTTGTGTGCCAGGTATTTTGTCCTAGCAATGAGAGAAAAGTAACCAAGACACCACCACACAGCAGACAGCACACAAGCAAGTTCCTAAGCACTTCAACTGTGACTGGTTGAAAGTATGAATTATGCTAGGCCTGGAGACACAGTGCATGCCTATAATCCTAGCATTGTGAGCAACTTAACAAGACCCTGTCTCAAAATAAGATAAAAACAAAAAAAGCTGGAGATGCAGCTCACTACAATGACCTTGGGTTCAATCCCCAGTACTGGGGAAAAAGAAAAAGGCATGGTTTGTTTTCTCTTCTCTGGCAGTCAGGGACTTACAAGCCATTTTGCTTAAAAAAAAAAAAAATAGATAAAACCAGCAGCAATCCTTGCTGATGTCAATCTTACAGATGCCCAACATATAACTGAAAGCAGAACAAAGCCTAACCTCACCTTACTGCCTTCTTTGTTCCCTGGAAACTGTCCAACCCCTGCACAGTTCTGCCTTCAGGGAGTGTTTATTTAGAAGTCACTACACAGGCTGAGGCCTGAATCCACAGTACCTCTCCCCACTCCTTCCAGACCCAGGACAGCAATGTAAGAGGTAAAGAGGGATACTCATTACTAGTAAGGGTCCTGGGTCTCCTGTTGTTGCCCCAAGCCACAACTCAGCTTGGACCCCAACGAGTATCACAAGGGTGCCCTGCCCCCCAACAGAAACAGCTATCTTCTAGGGACATCGTACCCTCAAGCAGTGAGGACTTAGGATGTCTCTAGAGCCAACTTGCAAAAATGGAACTAAGATGATAACAGCCAGACTCCTCCCCACCCCAGCAAGTCCATAAAATCTGGATTCTTCTGTGAATGGGCCGGTCTGACCTGTCCCTCAGAGCTATGCCCTCAACTCTGCAGGCTGAATGCCCTTCCCTGTGTTCTCTCACTCTTTAAGTCTACCTGGGAAACCTGCTGAGGCCTCTCCCTGATGTGTCCCAAGGAAAGGTGACAAACCTGTTCTGCGTATAAGGGGTGATGGACTCCTCAGAAGTATACTCTATACTTAAACTATACAGTACAAAGCAGGACCAGCTTTGGTGAAAGGCAGTATCTGTAATGTCAGATGTGCCAAGAGGTTAAAGGACAAGGAAGGATGTCTTCAGGAGCTCTGACACCTTTGAGGACAGCTACTTTGCTAGAGCACTGGGATGGTAACAAAACTTAGCAGATGATGATGTGAAGATGTAGCAGTAGCAATTCCAACCACTCTTCCAAGATCCGGACTGGAAAGACAGGCAGATGTAAATGAGAAGATGCACTACTCTTCTTCAAGATGAGAAAAAAACTGAAGATACAAGATTGAAAAGGGAAGAGATGGGGAAACAGAGAAAAGAAAGTAATGTGTAATGGAACCAGGTCCCCAAGGTAAAGGAGACGGGATCAAAAAGCCAAGGAGAAGAATCAGCTGTAGAATAAACAACCTTTCACTAGTCAGAATAAAAGCAAAGTGACAGGGCAGAAGAGGAATGTCCCAGGAAAATGGCTGGAAGCTTCCAGAGGACATTCGAGAGTACAAAGGGCCTGGCTAGCCTGTCTGGGGACACGGGTGCTAAGAGGCAAAAGCATCATCAACAGCGTTGCAGGGGGTCTGGGGTTACCCCAAGGAAGAACACTCCCACCCTGCATGTTGAGCTTCTTGAGGAAAGACTTCCTTCCTTTACTGCATTTTAGAGAGACTGACAATAAGAACAAGGTCAAGGATGGGAACCTGGACGAGGAAGGAGCCCGAAAATCCCAAAGGTGTTCTTTCTGGAGCTGAACAAGAGATCCAGGGAGGGCATTACCCAGTCTGCCTTGAACATGAAAACACCTACTGAGTCTCCCTGCTTGTGCAATCAGACCTTGTGATAGTAGACCAGGATGTGATGATCAAAGAAGAGGAAGGCACCTGTGGGCTTCATTTCCACGGACCAAGAAGAAGACAGGCCAACTATATTCAAATAAAATCTCAAAAACACCAATTCCAGAGCTCTGCTATTGCCTATTTCCACACAGCACAATCAGCCCGCTTCGACATGTTACTGTGCCACAGTAACATGCCACAATCAGCAAATTCCACTGTCTCTCACATCCACCCACCTCCTTTCCATCTTTTGTCTGGGCCTCCATCCTCCCTCACCTGATCTCCACAGCACAGTCCACCTCATTCCCTGCTGGTCCTGCTCTAGGCAGTGTAAACACTCTGCCACCCTAGTAATTTAAAACAGATGAGAGCATGTCACATCTCTGCTAAAATTCTCCAGTGTCCTGCTCTCCACCTGCATATTTTAAAAATAAGGTCCAAGTGAAGGGGACATAGCTCAGTGGTAGAGCACCTTTCCTGCATGATGCCTTCCCTGGACTCCATTCCCAGTACTACCAAAAAAAAAGTCCAAACCACTTAGACAAGTGATAGTAACTGCTACTGTTTACTGATCTTCATTTAGGAAGGCTAAGTAACATATCTATGCATTCAATTTACATCTGCCTTCTTCTTTGGGGTACTGGGGATCTAACTCAGAGCTTTCAGCAGGCTAGGCAAGTGATCTACCTCCAGCCCCTATGTCTCATTTTCATAGATGAGGAAACTAAAGCTTAGGAAGAAAGGGACTCATCCTCCTACAGTCACAAAGCTAGTTCAGTGGCAAAGCTGGTATCAGGATATTGGCCTTTTAAGCACAGTATATGCTCCTGGCATGCTACTGTCCACAGGCTCTGCATAGAGTGGCTCCCACTGCCTTTTCCAGTCACCTCTCAACCTGCAACCCTATGCTGCTACTCTGTTGACCTTTGCAGGCCAGTTCCACTTGTGGTCTCTGCTCAGCTACTTCTAGCTCCTCTGTACATGCATATCCTACTTGTCCTCTAGAACCTGAAGAACCCACAACCCTCACAGCAATTTTCTGATGCCTCAGCCTGACTGAAAAAAGCACCTGAAGTCTTCTTCCACCAAACATGTGCCAATGGTTTCATGTCACAGTTTTGAAAAAACTAAACTTTTTGAGCATAAGAAGGCATCTCTTGCTCATTTCCATATATATCAAAAGTGCACCGTCAGGTACACAACGGATGTTCAATAAACATTTATGTATATTATCTATGAAAGTATTCTCTATTCTCTTTTGCCTGAAAGCAAAAAGGGGATCCTGTGGTTTTATAACAGAGAACCCAGTACTCAGCTCTTTTAAAGATTTCAAAATACTATCACACGAGGGCACACATTAGTTGGCCAAGAGAAATAGATGAGGAGACACTCTGAGGAACAGGGACAGGATAAGAGAGCTTCAGATCAGCCACACTTGTGGCCAGCTCAGCAAGGGTGGAGTATACTGGGGGACAGACAGACAAGATGAGCCTTCAAAAGACTGGTTTTTTTGTCATTCAGGTATTAGCTCACAACTCACCTACTGTCCAGTGGGGTTTCAAAACAGCTCCTGCAAATAAATAAATGAAAATTGTTCTCTATCAATCAGTCATATTGTTCTTTATTCTGTTTCTTTTGCAGCACCTGTTAGGATCTGAAACATTTATCACTCCTTGAAGTGTATTTAGTGACAGCCACCAAGAGCACTATCAAAAAATAAGCTTCAGGACCTGGCTGCTGTGGCCATGGCTTCATGGCTAAGGCTGAAGCAGGAAGACTGCAAATTTGAGCCCAGCTTGGGCTACACAGTGGGTTTAAGGCCAGCCTTAAATACAACTAGACTCTGTCTCAAAATAAACCAAAAACATCAGGCTTCATAACTGGGGCACAGTGGCACCAACATGGAATCCCAGCAATCTGGGAGGCTGAGTCAGTAGGATCACAAAGTGGAACCCAGCCTGGGCGACAGAACTCAGTGACAAGACTGTGGGTTCAATACCTGGTTGAACTAAAAAAAAAAAAAACCTAGACTCCAAGTAACAGGGTTCTTTTTTGTCTATAGTGCTTACAGTATTTGTTTTAGTCAATACCAAATATTTATTCAGCATATATACTATGCCAGGCACTTTTCTATATGCTGGAGATATAAAAACAAGACAAAATTCTCTGTTGTTATGGAGCTTACCCTGAATGAACACATTAAATATGCTCAGCCTAGAGAAGAAAATAAGAAAAGATCAACTAGCAGCTTTCAAAGATGTGCAGAACAATTAATGGAAGGTAGATCCCAGCAGCCGAAGCAAAGTCCATGAGCTAAGACTGCTGGGTAACTGCTTTCAGATCAGCATAGGACTTGGAGCGACCAGAAGTAGTAAGCTTTCTATCACTACAGAAAATTGGTCAGTGGGCAGCGAGGTTACAAGAACAAAACCCTCCAGTGCACAGGAAAGAAACCTGGGACAGAGTCCCCAAACTAACAGCCACACCTACTGACTGACAGCTACCCGTGACAGCTGCACAGTTTTTTGTTTTACAAAGAACTGAGTTTGTTCCCACTTAAAGAAGTATTTGCGAGTAGTGTTTAGAAATGAGGATGGCACAAATGCTGGATTTGGTTTCGAATCTCCTACACCACGTTAGTAACCGTGTTTATAAAATTTAGTAAAAATCGAAGATCGACTCAATTTTTTATTCGACTCCTAGGAAGCACTGGCCGGCCTGCTTTCGATCACACCAAGGCACCTGTAGCCCGAGCCTAGGGGCACTATGGAGAGGCCGTGGCCTCGAGTGATAACACGTTGTGCTTCCAGTTCCGCCAATAAACGAGGAAGACGCCCGGGGTCCCCAGCAAACCCGGCAACGCCAGGATGAGGCCGAGACATTAACACCAGGCGCTCCCGCGCAGACCCAAACGGATGGGGACGTCGCCACAAGCTAGTGACAGGGAGAGACAAGTGGACAACCATCCCCTGGGGTCGAGACAGGAGGTTCCTGAGTCCCGCAGCTCCCCTCGCGCCCCATTTCACTGCTCGCCGCGTTGCTCCAGGCCCCCGAAACGAAGCCCCTGAGACCCTACTCCGCGCTCCGCCATCGCAGCTCACTCACCACTCCCCAACTTCCGGCAACCTCGGCGCGTCCGCAGCGCGCACTCTGATGACGCACAGGGCCCCGCCCCCCTCGCCTCCCGGAGCTGGTTGCGCATGCGCAACGGGTACTAGCTGGCTCTAGAAAAAGCGTCCCTAGCACCTGGCGAAGGGGGCGGAACGCGAGTAGTGTGGAAGGCGGGGCACTGAAGTGGGCAAGGTCCAGCAAAAACTGGCAGAGAGGCTATTTGGATACGGTAATGTGTGTGTACGGGTTAAGCTTTTTAAAATGCCTAAGTGCTCCTCCACTCTCCCCCACACACACACTCTAGGAAGTTGAAGCAGAAGGATCTCAAATTCGAACCTACCCTAGGCGACTTAGCGAGCCCTCTTTCTAAAAAAATAATGGCCGGCCAAATAGCTTAGCGGATTGAAGCACCTGCAAGCAAGCATAGGGGCCGGGGGACCGGGCCTGCCGTGCCATCCCCGCCCCAGGGGCGTGTTGAAACTGCAATTGAGACTGGGCGTGGTGGCGCACACCTGTAATCCCATCTCTTGTGAGGCTGTGAACAGGCAGATCACTACAGGTCCGATCTAGTAGTGAGACCCTAAACACCCTGTAGACCCTTCCCTAAAAAATACAAAAATAATTAAAAGGGAAAACTGAGGATGTAGTGAACGCCTTGTGTGCAGTCTTTAGTACCACACACACACACACACACACACACACACACACACACACGAGTGACTTCAGAGGACAGCAGAAGTTACCACTGCCATTTACCAGAGGGACAACCCGGAACAATCGCCAAGCAGATAAGACAAATGAAGGCTGTCATATGTCACAGACAGCAGTCAACAAGGACCAGCTTGCTCTTTCTCTTCTCTCCCACTATCAAGGGATGAGGTTGCTCCTGCTTGAAGAGGACCTGTCGTGTGTTAGCCAGGAGGTGGGACTCATCCTGCAGGGAGGCCTTGCCCACAGGGACTGGAACCTCCCCACACACAGCGAGGTCAGCGATGGCTGGAGTTTATCGTCTGTCCTGTTTCCAGGGTTTCATGTCTCATCCACACTTTTGCTCCACAAGGCTTTTATTATCCTAGACCAGAAGCTGGGAAATTTTATTTCTTTATTTATGTGACGTTTGGGGGCTGGAGCCTTGTTATATAGCCCAGGCTGGCTTCAAGCTGATGGTGATCCTCCTACATCAGCTTCTAGAGTACTGGAATTATTGCATAGGCCATTATTCCAAACTGGACTAGGAAAATTTAGTTGACTTGCTCAAAGTTAAAGGATTTATGGGCCAGAATTGGAATTAAAATCTGTTTGACTCTTCTCAAGTAGGAGAATGAGGCCAGGCATGGTGCATACCTGTAATCTCAGCATTGGGAGGCTGAAGCAGGAAGATCACTGTGAGTTAAAGGCCACCCCGAACTACATAGAAAGACCCTGACTCTAAATAAATAAGGATAAATCCAGACTTAATAAGGGCACTTTACCAGAAAGGATTATTCCAAGGGGATGGTGGGGAACTATTGCAATACATAGACCACTCTGATCAAAAGCTTGCAGGTGTGTTAAGGGAGAAGTGAAATGAATTTTCTTTTATAGGAAGTGTAAACAAGGCTAGAAAAACTCAGATGTGTGAAAGTGAGGGTGACAGGGCTTGATCCCAACCCAAGATTGGAGAGTGCTTTCCCTTGAAAGCAGGCGCTCTCAGGCAGAGCTGTATGCTGGCTTGGATGGAGTGTAGTTCACATGAACGACCTCAGAAGGAAAGAGGCTTCACCAAAGTTTGGTCAATGACATGTTTTGGCATTACTCAGCAGGGACAAGCAACTCAACAAGTCATTTAAGAGACCAAGTAAGGGGCCTCTGTTCAGAATGATAGGAATCTTAGGTCATGTAACAATGTGTGTTTCTTTACAGTAAGCACTTTCTGAGCACAATAAAAAATGTGGAAAGATTCCTTGTTTTCTACAGGATCTTGCTGACTAGCCTTGAACTCACTGTGTAGCCAAGGGTATCTTTAAACTCCAGTGATCCTCCTGCCTCAACCTCCTAAATGCTGGGATTACAGGAATATGCATCACACCCAGCGTAGTGTTATGCTCTCAATCTGGAATGGCCCCCAGAAGCCTAGAATGTTCAAAACTGGGGCTTTTGGAAGGTGTGGTAGATTCCTCAGGGCACTATGGCTGCTCATCAATGGATTCAGTCACCAGTGAGTTTAGAGCTCTGTGCTATTGCAATGCGGGGCCTGCTTGGAGGGTGTGGTCTGGAAGGGTGAGCTTCCTGTCTGGCTCCTCCCTGGTTCCTCTCAGCTCTATGAGCCATGAGGTAAGCTGCTGGCCACCCAGACCCTTCTCACACACTGTTTCTGCATTTGAGGCAGCTGACCATGGACTGAAACTTGTGAAACTGAGCTAAAATAAACCCGTCCTCCCTTGAGGTGCCAGGATCAACTGTTGCATCCCAGCAAGGAGAAAAATGTCTGAGACACTGGGAGGCTCTGTTGAGTGTGCCTACCTTCTCAGACTGCAGGCATGGGTGACCCCACAGGAATCGGGTTTTGCAAGCACACCCTGCTTCCTCCTGTCTCCAGCCCACCAGGCCTCACATCTCCATGCTATGTGACCTCCTCAGTCCCCATGGCCCAACTCACTCTGCCTGGCTTTCTAGTTGTGGGCATAAAAGTGCATGATGCATGCTGTCTGATTTCCCCTTGGCGGAGTTCTGTAGTGACAGAAGTTACGTCTTTGGGTACTGAGGCAATAGGAGTCCTTGTCCTCACAGGGGTGTGGCAATATTCCATAGCTTCACCAAGGTTGTGTTGATATGCATACATGTATTTATCCCAGTGACATTTAATAGTATGCACTGAATAGAACAGTGATTTTAGAAAGCCAAGCCAAGCACGCAGGTGCACACCTGTACTTCTAGCTACTCAGTAGGCTGAGACAGGAGGGTGGCAAGTTTGAGGCCAAACTAGCCAAATTAGTGAAGCCTTGTCTCAATGAAAAAGTTGTTACCTCATATGAGAGGATATGCCCAACACCCATCTAGAGGCTCTACTGTATTAAGTGTATGAGCTGGGGCTGAAGGAAGTTATCCTGGGGTTTATTTCCCCTGCTGGGTTTTGAGCTCTTCTGATAAATATATTTTAGAGTTTCTGCCCAGATTAAAGTGATTTGTGCATTTCTGGGAACTGCTGGTTTTGGCTGTGTGTGTACCCTGACCCCTACACCAGCCCCACACCCACTGACTGCAGCACATGTGATCATAGCACCTGAGTGCTGAGATTACAGGTGTGTACCACCATGTCCGGCTAAAGGGTTGTGTCTGAGAACTCACACCTGGAGGTGAAGATGTGTATTACTGAGTTTGGGTCATGTTTGTTTCAATGTAGTGAGCAGTACATTGTTACACTGAAAGTTCTACAGGTGTATAAAAAAAAAATCCCAGGGGCAATGAAGTTCATCAGTTCATTTCTTCAGTCCTTCTTCCCGCCTCCTCTTTTCCCCTGCCTTCCTGCACTAGGTATCCAGATGTGCTCAACACAGCCTGTGCTACTGACTGATGCCCCAGTCCTTGGCAATTTCATTTCAGCCTGAGGTGTGGAAGAACACAATGCCCAGGGAGTTGTATGGAAACCAGCAGTGATGCCGTGGATGCCTGGCTTGGGCAGGCCCAGGTCAAGTCACCCGTGGGAATCTCAGTAACAGCTTGAGGAAGCTCCTTCTAGAATACTGCTGTTGGCCTCCAGCCCATTCCTACTCCTGAGGAGCATCAGTTCTGGTGTCCAAAACTGAGGGTCAAGAATCACCCTGTGGACTGGAATACAGCTCAGTGGCACAGCACCTGCCTGAAAAGTGCAAGGTCCTGAGTTCAAGTCCTGGTACAAAAAAAAATCATCCTATTGTTGAGCAAAGTGATATGTGCACTCGGGAGGCTGAGGCAGGGGGATCACTGTGTTTGAGGCCATCCTGGGCTACACAGAGAGATCCTATGCAAACAATATGATGGTCATTATAAGGTAGGACTTTTTGTTTAAAGATAGAGTATGGATTCTGTATGTAGCCCAAGCTAGCCTTGAATTTGTGGCAATCCTTCTGCCTCAGCCTCCCAAGTGCTGGGATTACTAGTGTGCTACCACGTCTAGCTAAAAGGTTCTGTCTTGAGAACATGAGATCTGGATTTGGAGATTTCTGTTCCTTACAGGTTAAATGTCCTTATCCAAATTTACTGTTCTTATCAGACCCAAATCCAGCACTTCTACCCAAAGCCAGCCTCACCCCCTGTTGCTGGCCCTGCCTGTAAGCTGGGGCCAGCAGCTTCTGCAGCTGCCCAATTTTAAGCATTAAGAACTTTCTGGGAAGCAAAGTGGAAGGAGAGTGAATCTTCTACAATGTTTTTGGAAAGACATTTACAAATACGACCAGAAAGCAAGCAGAACCTGACTAGAGTCTTGTCATGCTCTGCACCACCTCCTTGCACATTTTCTCTTCCCAAGGGACTCTGAAAGGAAGAAACGAACAAATCACAGAACAGTATCCTTTTGAAGAGCATATATTAGGGAGGTAAAAATATCTCATTTGAACAGGTTGTGTACACGGGAACACAAAACACAGAAGACCTGTGTGGATAAGCATTTCCACTTGCTACATACGTTAAGTTTTAACATATAAATCACAACCAGACAGCAATGTAAGCATCACATAAACTGGATGTTCCCATGGCTTTCAACTCCACAGGGAGACTATAAAAAAGTAGAAGACCTCTCGACTTGTCCACTGTCCCCGAGGGTCTCCCTCTGTGACTGCAGATGTGCTCTGCAGCAGCTGCTCTTCCTTCCCATGTGTCACTTTGTGAATTGTCACCGTGCTTGGGAATCTTGTACGTAGGTGTGGGTGTGCAACATGACACATTTTTGTTTTTCAGACAAGCCGGAACCCCACCTGGTTTGTTATTTTTAACTTTCTCACACAGCTAGCTCCATAACCTCTGTGCTTCCTCCTGGCTCACCAGACCTCACTGTGCTCCTCAACAATCTGGAACTCATGTGCCACCCTCCTCTTGTGGCATGGGAGTGGTCCAGCCCTTAGGACATTGTCTGTTCTCCCCTCTCCAGCCCTTTGCTTTGAACACACAACTCTTAAAATCACTTCCTTTCTCTCTCTTTTGAAGGCAGCTTTTGTCCCCAGGTACTGAAGAACTCAAAGGAAGTTGGGATGGAAAACATGGGTATGCATGCTGCACAATTTCCTGCCAACTCTAAGCCACAGGTACATGAGAAAGGCTAAGGCAGGAGCTTGGGGCAGCCTAGGCATGGGTTCTGGAGAGAGGTGTCCCCCGGGCTCTTGTGGGTCCCCAACAGTTGCTCCCAATGTGGTCTTTCTGCTGCTCACTGCCACCAGCTCTTCTTCAAGTACCACCTGCTGAGACCATCACTGCACCACTAAACCCCTAACCAAGACTGTGGCCTCCACTGCAGGAAGACTGGGTACCTGAGAGACACAGGCTCCTTCCCTCAGTCTCCTGGAGCCATCACAAATCCACCATCCCTGGCTGCCTCCCAGGCTGCACCCTCAGGGTGGGATGCGCAGGATCCTCTTGAAGGTCTTCCTGAAATTCTCGTTGCACAGTGGGTAGATGAGAGGGTTCAACGTGGAGTTGAAGTAACCCAGCCAGATGGTGAACATGTGCACAGGCTCACTGCAGCAATTTTTGCAGAAGGCGATGACCATGAAGAACACAAAGTAGGGGATCCAGCAGAGAATGAAGGCTGCCATGATGCACCCCAGCTGCTTGGCCGCCTTCCGCTCCCGGCTCAGATGCAGCCCAGACACGTACTGCCTCGAGTGTGAGCGCAGCCTTCTCCACGTGAACTTGATATAGTCCAGGCCTGTGTTGGACCCACTGCGTGGCTGGCCACCACCTGATGCCACCTCAATGCTGGTGTCAGAATCTGTGGTCCTGGAGAAGGACTGGCCATCCACCATTGTCCAATCCTCTGGTCTGGCACTGTTATTGTGGGTGGCCTGGATCTGTCCACTTGGCCTGAGCCGGCTCTGCATATGGTCCAGAGCTTCACTACACCTGCTATCTCCCACTGCCACCATAGGCATCTGCAGAGTGCCCGCCTCTCCTCCCTCATCGTCACTGAAGACAGCCACAGATGGCATCTCCATGGGGCGTTGGGGTGATGGCCTCAGGGTGCATGCCTCACTGGTATCTTTCGACAACCTTTTGGGATCCTCCCAGGGTGACTCCTTTCCCGGCCTCCTGGTGTCCACCTTGGTGCTCTCCGACCTCAGCTTCATCTCTGAGAAGGAAGGGAAGGAGCCATTGATGAGCTGGCGGTGCTGACAGTGTCGCCGCACAGCCTTGTAGATCCGGGCATAGAACCAGAGCATAAGCAGGGTGGGCAGGTAGAAGTTGATGATGGCTGTCATGATCTTGAACCAGGTGACGTCATAGAAGTCTGTCTCACATTTGTTCCCTTGGGCCCCTGGTGTTGGGGCTATGAAGTGCCAGCCGAGAATGGGAATCACCCACAGGAAGGAGAGAAGCCAGGCCCCTAGAATAGTGGCCGATGCACGCGTCTTGGTCCGATACCTCAAGTACCTGAGAGGCTGCTGGACGGAGCGGTAGCGATCAATGCATAGGATGAAGACACTGAAGATGGATGCTGTGCTGGCCACATAGTCCATAGAGAGCCAGAAGAGGCAGAGCGGGCGGCCCAGGATCCACACAGACCTGTAGAGGTAGAGGATGCTCATGGGCATGACCACAGCACCCACGATCAGGTCAGCCACTGACAGGCTGACGATATACAGGTTGCCCACGGTATGCAGCTTCCGCTCGCTGCGCACAGCATACAGCACCAGCAGGTTGAGTGCAACAGTGATCAGCGACACACTGCTCAGCACCACCACCAGGGGCACCAGCTGGGGGTTGGGCGTGTCCGTCCTGTTGCCCTCACACATTCTGTCTTCTGGCATGCAAGAGGAATTGAATGGGGTCACCGGGGTCATTCCTGGAAAGAAAGATAGAAGGACAAGGCTGGAAGTCAGACATTCCTGCAGCATCACTTTCCCCCAAATGGCCTGGGTGCTTTTAGACAGTCTAACATTTGGTTACCTAACATTCCAGTGCTGCCCTTCCCTACTCATTCATTCATCACTCATTCATTCAATTTATTGAAGCTGGGTGTGGTGGTGCAGTCCTGTTATTCAGCATTCAAGAGGCTGAGACAGTAGGACTGCTATGAATTTGAGTCCAGCCTAGACTATACAGCCTATCTCAAAACGTAAAATTTTAAAAATTTATTGTATTCCTGGCATTGTTCTAGGTGTTGCACCTATGGCAGTGAATAAAACAAATTCTTAGGCCTCCTATGCTTGCAATCTAGGGAGGGAATTTGGCCAAAACTAGGTAGGAAATAGTGGATCACTGGGAGTTCAAGGCCAATCTGGGGTACATAGTGAATTTCAGGCCATCCTGAACTACAGACTGAGACCCTCTCTCAAACAAACAAAACCAGTGTCAATCTCATCCTGTGTCCCAGGAAGAAAAAGCCTGAGAAGATGGGACCAGGCTGAAGGCAGTATTCTGGTTCTTTTTCACTGCAGCTGGTGTAGGAGTGGCCACAAAACAGCTGTAGCCAAGTACAGGGGACATTCAGGAAAAGCTCCTCCTCTCTTTCCTGAAGGGAAGTGGGGAAACTGGTAGGCACTGTGGAAGTCATTTGGGGGCATCAGGGCAATGCCAAGAAAACAGTCAAGATGCCAACTCAGCCTTATGGTCCCTGCACTGCTGACTGAACCTTGGAAGCTTCTTCCTCCAGACTTTTAAGAGGAGAAATAAGAAGATTCCTTCTTTGCTTAATCCACAGTCCAGGGAGATTCTGTCCATAGCTGGAAGCCTCTCTAGCATGGCGAGGGTACGGGGCACTGTGCCAGAAGGACCCCAATCATGAAGTGTGCCCAGCAGCCCAAGAGGAAGGGTGTTGGGCTGGGGTGTGGCTCAGTGGTAAAGTATGTGCTTAACATGAGCATGACCCTGGGCTCAATCCCTAGGACTGCAAATGTTATTTTAAAAAGAGGAAGAGATATTTTCAAATGGGAGGGAGAGCTATGTTATTCCAAAACACATTTATCATTTCACTTTTCTTTCTTTTTTTGTGAAAGGGTCTCACTATGTAGTCCAAGCTGACCTTGAACTCATGGCAATTCTCCTGCCTTAGCCTCCCAAGTGCTGGGATTATAGACATGTGCCACTGCACCCAGCTATTTCACTTTCATATTTGAAGAACAAGAAGCATCTTTTTATTATACAAAGTGTATCACACTAAAGCTCTGCTAGTGAAAGCTACAGAAAAGACAGCTTGTCTCCTCACACCCATGATCCCCGAGGAAGTGGTGTGCATGTTGGCTTCCACTCATGGGCTGCTGAGGTATTGGTAACGAGCTTACAAATGGAACAGGTTCATTTGAGCTCATGGTGGAGATTATGGTGAGGAAGGTGTGATGCAGCCAAACTGCCCACTTCACGGCAGGAAGTTAACAGGTGAGGAAAGGCCTAGCTTGTGCCAGTGCCTCCAAGGCCATGTCCCAAGGACCTAAAATCTTCCCACTAGGCCCCACTTCTTTTTCTTCTGTGTTTTAGGGAAGGGTCTACAGGGTGTTCAGGGTCTCAATAATAGATCGCACTCCTAGTGATCCACCTGCTTACAGCCTCCCAAGAGCTGGGATTACAGGTGCGCCACCACGCCCAGTCTCAATTGCTATTTTAGAGCGCCCTGGGGTGGGCAGGCCTGCTTGCAAGCGCTTTAATCTGCTTAGCTGTTTGGTTGGCCCATAGGCCCCTGCTTCTTAAAGGGCCCACCAATGCACAATAGTGCCTCCCTGCTGACCAAGCCTCTAATATACAGGCGCTGGGTAACACTAATGATCAGATCTAGAACAGGTGGGAAGTGGAAGTACAGGTTAAAACTTAGAGAAGCTGACATTAGGTTTTCCTATTCATTAGTGAGTGGTGTGATTTTAAGAAAATCTGAGAAACACTGAGTTTAAATTTCTTTTGCTCCTTTAGCAAAAAGGAAATTTATCTTTATATTAAGACAAATATAGTTAAGTTCTAGAGTAAAAAGCTAAATCTATATCATGTTAAAAGATAAAAATCAAGCCCCTGAGGCATTTGATCCTTGAGGAAGAAACATGAACTCTATCCCCAGGAGCTTCGGGGCTCCAGAGAAGCATTTTTGGAAGGCAGCAGCAGCAGCCAGGCTATATCTCAGGGGATGAGGGGTCAGCTCCCTCCAAGAGCAGATGACCTGAGCACTGGGCCTAGAAAATTCTGGCCACCCCAACAGACTGCAGCATCCACCTGGCCCAAGAATGACAGTCCAGGCCAAGGAAGCAGGAAGCCCTGGGGATAGACTGCTGAGGAATATAAATATAGGCAACTTCCTAGGAAAAGGGCTAGGCCCTGGGGCCAGGCACAGAAACTGCGAATGCATGCATAGTGAGGGAAGCAAATGGGGCAGGAAAAAAGCACCAACTACTTAGGCATCACTTGGGACTGCCACCCAGATGGGGCCCCAGGCACCAGACCCACTTCCTCAGTGCTAGAGATAGAAGCCGGGGCCTCTGCACTCACCACAGCCTGCATTCACCAGCACAGTTTTTAAATGATTAAGAATTTCAAGTAGGCTAAGGGTATAGCTTAGCGGTGGAGAGCTTGCCTAGCTTGGCTGAGGCCCTGGTTTAATCTCCAGCAAAACACACTGTTACGGTTTGTGTGTAGTTGTCCCCTCAAAGCCTCATGCAGTCTTGGGGTGGCTTTCGGAGTTTGTGATTGATTCTTGTGGGTGTGGATGCTGCACCTGCCCTGTGGCAGGTAACTTGTGTTACAATTTAAGGAGGAAAGAGAAGCTAGCTGCCTGAGCTGCTGCTCCTCCTTTTGCTGTCTTGCTCTTTGCCTCCACCATAAAAGGTTGCTCTCTGCCATGTGCCAGGCTGCCTTGGAGCCAGCTGAGCATGTACTAAAACCTCCAGTAACTGTGAGATAAACCTTTCCTTCCTTCATTTTGAATGTCAGGTATTTGTCCTAGCAATGAGAAAAGAGTAATTACACACACACACACACACACACACACACACACACTATGTATGCTTGCTAAGTGTGATAATACATGCCTGTAATCCCAGCATTCAGAAGGCTGAAGCAAGAAGATTGCTGAGATTTTGAGACCAGCCTAGGCTACATAGTGAGTTCAAGACCAGCATATATTGTAATAGTGAGACCCCACTCAAAAAAATGAAGTTCAAGAAGAGGAGTGCAGAACACTGGACCAGGCTCAGGGCCACTGAGCACAGGGTTTGTCCCCTGCCAAGGATGCCAGCACTAGGCCTCCCATGCAGCCTCAAAACAGGTACCAGGAGCTTCCCCCTACAGAGACCCACACTCACAAGCAGACCCATGAACAGATCCCCTGTGTATCTTTCAGAAGGCCAATAGCTGCAGTACTGGCAGGAGATGTGGGTGGATACATGGGTCCTCTTTGGCCCTATGCCACCCAGGGAACCCCAACTGGATAGGGAACTCACTCCCTAGAGTGAAGCTAGGCTGGGGTATACTCAGGCCCAGGGAAACAAGCCCAAGGAGGTGCTTGGGACAAAGACATTTGGAGAATTCATAGGACACCTGTGTCCTGGGCAGGAGCTGAGTTCTAGCCATGCTCTGCTACTTCCAGGGCTGGTGCTTGGTCTGTGACTTCCTTGATCCCTACAATTCCAGGATCACCTCTTCACAGCTCAAAGTTCTGCTGATTGTCCAGAGAAGAAATGAACCTTTCATTTCTATGGGCTAAAATGCAGATGCAGACCATCATGTTTGCTTTTTTTTTTTGGCAGAACTGGGGATTGAACTCAGGGCCTTGCACTTGCCAGGGAGGCACTTATTCTACTGAGCCATCTCCCAGGCCCCCATGTTTGCAGGCAATGGCTTCGTACCAGAACCTTGAGCTATGAGCCAGCAGATAAGACCCCTAGCGCGGTGTCAACACTTCCTCAAGCCCAGGATGCAGGCAGGCAGCTGACACCTGAGAAGTCAAGTTCAGGGCACTTGCCAGATATCAGTTAATAAAAGCCCAAGAGGGAAACTGACAGTCTCCAGCTAGCAAGGAGGAAATAAATGGTCAGCTCAACCTCAGAGAGGCAAAGCAACTTACTGCAGGTCACACAGCCAGGAAGAGGGTGCTGTATTCTAACTGGTTTCTCAGCCTTGGTAGCATTGACACCATGCTTGGTGTCATTGCCCACTATGGTGGGCTGTCCTGTGCCCTGTGTGTTTGGCAGTGTCCCTAGTCACTGCTCCTTATGTCCCAACAGCAGCTATCCCCTCCCAGGTGGTGAGGACCAAACATCTGATGCTGTTGGGGTGCACTAGGGGAGAGAAGCATCCCACTGAAGAAGGCAAGCCCAGAATGCCCAAGCCCACCACTGGCCTGAGACCCAGCTCCAGCTCCAAGCAGAGCATGCCTTTGTAAAAATGGACACTGCTGAGCAGGATGCCACACACCTAGAACCCCAGGAAGCTGTGAGCCCGAGCCCAGTGTGGGGAACTTCACACTGCAGTGAGAGCCTAGATCAGAATTTAAAGAATAAATAAAAGGTGCTGCGAGGTCACTCAGGGGAAGGGGTTCAACCCCAATCCAGAAAGGAGGAAGGGAAGAAGGGACAAAGAGAAGAAGAGAGGGGACAGATGTTACCCAGGATCACAAAAGGCTTCCTCTGTGGGAAATATGTGGCAAGAGGGAACTTGGAGATGATTCCAAATCGGACACGCTGAGGACAACTCTTTACTTAGCTAAGATGCTCAGATGTTAGTCTTATACTTTGGGGGATTCTCTCCACTGGCCCGTACCCCAGCTCTCAGGTGGTGCTTTTAGATATGGCACCCCAAGGACCTCCTACAGTACCTGGCACACAGAAGGTGCTCAATTATTGTAATTTTTTTTCCATTTCTAGGTGA